GTCTTTTGATTCTCAGTCCTGAACAGTCCTCACGGCACAGCATACTTTTAATGAGTTTTGGAATGGCGGATAAAATCAAGTCAGGTACTGTGAAATCACTGTCGGTTCTTGGGTCGGCAAATGGTAAAGGAAAAGAAACACTGTAAAAATCATGGGCACGTATTCTTTTCTATCTGGCAATGTAGCCGTTTTCGTTGATTTTTTTACTACAGCTGTTAGTCGTATCACCAACCTAGGCCCTGTTCAAAAGAACTGGCCCTTGACCTTCAGAAACTTAAGCCAAAAGGGAGATTCTACAAAAGGCATAAAGTCTTTTGTTTAAATATAAGAAAAAAAATTAGGATTCAATGCAGGAAGACTGAGTATTAAAGATAAAAAAGAGACAAGAATAAAACATTTTATTATTAAAATAAAAACCTTTGTATAAAAGCATTACAGATCAAAAGCTCTATTTACACTTACTGGTTCAATGTCCAATTATGCAGCAGACACCGAATGAGCACAGCAACAGACTGCTCATGAAAAGGAAATGGACAAACACACTTAGATCCCACCCCTACCGAATGATTTGATTAATGCAAACAAAGGGGGAGAGGGAGAAGACCCATGAAATCTGCCCAGAAATCAAACTGGTAGAGATGTGACGTTAATCGATTGTTCAAAGTCACCCATCTCCAAAAAGGCACTTCTCACTGTTATAAAAGTGCTTAAAACCTGAACATGAACCCTGTGTCTAGCTTATTTAAGAAAGCAAAAACTGCAACAAATTATAGACTATTAGTATCAATTTTCCCTGAAAAATGCACAAGAATTTGAAATACCTTCCATATGAACTGAAATAAACTTGGAAAACTATAATTACACTCCAGTTGTATACCAAGAATTCAAATCAGCTTATTCCTGAAGCCTCACCATCCTAATTCCCCAGGACATCTTTTCTACAATGAGTAGAGCACCGCACACAAAACTCTGGGTCCTGACCGTGTGAGCCAGAGGCACCTTTTAGCCTCATGGTGAAAGAAATCAACAGCAATTAAGTCTCAACTGTGACAACTGGTATAATAAGCACAATACACAGAATATTCTCATCAGAGGCACCCAAAGTAACATATTCTGCTTTCCAACAATAACCTAATTTTTCCACATGGTTTTAAGACTTTTGTGCCTTGATTGTGTTAAAAAAATTTCAACTAGTAAGAACACTAAATCATTCCCATTGTTTTCATGTAAACAAGTTAAAGGGCTGGTCTCTGGAACTTGACAGATGAAGTTAGTTAACAGTTGTACTGTGTTTCTAAGTGCTTGGTTTTATGGGTGNTGGATCTTCCAAATACTATGCTTGCATTTCAAATTCCTGTTTTAGACTGAAAGAGAAAAGGGAACATGTCAAGATAGTTTTTGACCTAAGAATTCTCTTTTGAAAGCCTAATTCACTCTTCTAAAAATGTTTTTTATTGAGTTTTATGGCCTAGTGCACATGCCTTAAGTGTGCAACTTGAATTTTTACACATACACAGGTCACCACCACCCAGAAGATATAAAATGCTTCCAACACTTCAACACTCCCAAATGTGTTCCTTTTCCAGGCAATACCTTTACCCCAACCCCTGAGAGTATCACACTATTGTGACTTCCATCATTTTTTTTACTAAGCCACAAAAATGAATGTAAGATTTAAGCATGGGGGAGAAAAAAAAATCCATTTACCTTTTCAAGTAAGCATGCACATTCCCAAAGCCATGGTATTTGGCTAAATACACAAGGACCCCAGTTGCACACCGCCCATCTCGCTGTCGACAGAAACTGCAGTTGCAGATTCTACGACAAGGTGGGCAATGCCAGTTCTGAGGGAGAATTGTGAAAAGGCACAATTAAATCAAACTCCACTTTTCCCCCGTACTTATCTATTTTCTATTTAAATTCAAAGGTATCACCAATTGCATCTAAATTTTTGAAAGAAAAAAACCTATACATGGTTAATATGACTTCTAATACATTGGTCATAACTTGCATTCTCTTAGGAAATCTAACTACACAGCAACCACACCAAGGGTAAATGGACTATCAACTCACCCTGCATGGCCCTGTCCTAAGCACCAGGAAGGGGTCCACACTTACCCAGCACCAACACTATGAATTCATCTGCCTCCCTTGAAATGAACGCTCCACAACGCTCAGTCCTTACACCAAGGCCCTCTTTGTGGCCCTTTCACCTCGAGGCTGACCTCCAGACCCACAGGACCATCCCCATCCCTTCAAGGAACTTACTGGATCTAGCAGAGCATCCTTGACCTCTTCACCGTAACGGTTCCGAAGGCAGGGACCACAGAACTGGCCTCGAACGCCCCAGCACTCTGGGTTTCTGCAGTTTGTTTTGGTATCGATTGTTTTCTGGCGGCACTGATGACAAGTGGATCCCTACAAATAATAATAAAAAAGAAAACAACTGCTTTTTGTAGAGAAAAATGGTATGTTTAAAGAATGCCATTCCCCGTGGATAGAGTCTGACATTGTCTTTGAATCCTATTCCACATCTACATATGCATGTATATGCCAGAGCATGAAAAGTATATCAAGCATGGTGACTTCACTCAATTGGCAGACACAACAGTTAGTATTACCAAACTACTTTTCTTCAAGAAAACAGCTTACGCAACAAACAAAAAGCCTACCCAAGTCCTTTTTTCTTTAGCAAACCACCATATCCTTGCACCTATCTATGTAGACATATGTAATCGATACACAGTGAATATATGTTAAATGAGTCAATTCTAAACTAAAAGAAAGGATTCAGTGCTAATGAAGACTTACTAAAAGCAAATACTACTACTATTGACTGACTAGGAGGGCTAAATCCCAAGGCTACAAAAAACTCTTCTATGAAAAACACTCAGGCGTACATCCCATCTGCTAAGAACTTTAGGACACTAGCAACACCCCGCGGAGAGAGACTACCCTTCCTCTCTCTCAGACGTTCACATTTTGAGACATAATTTTGAGGCTTTTACCAATGAACGGTTATATATCTTCTCTCTAGAGTTATTGCAGATGTTCTCCAGCTCTTCCTCTGTAATTTCGCCCACCGGACGAATTACATGTGGGAGGCTCATGGATCCGGGGCGACGACTTCTGCGCATGTCACCTTCCTGCAAAACGAGAAGCGGGGAACAGTGTTATTACTGGCTCTCCCAAACTCTGAATCTCAGATATTTCTTCACAGAGAATGCCCCCTGGAAATCTTTCTGAAAGCTTATGGAAGGCGGGGCAGGCCCTAAGTTTACTAGGGATAATGGAATGACAACACCATGGAAACAAGTCCTACAATTAAGGAAAAGCCAAAGAGCCTGCTAACAGAAATTATCCAATATGTTTATGTGTCATTAACAATTCTGGACACGTGAGAAGAGCATTTAGTATGGATCATTTGGTGTTGAGACTGTGTGTGTACCTGCTTCATCTAGGATACTGGGCTACAGAAGAGCGAGCACAGATGTGGAGAACTCACGTTCACACAGCCATCCACGGCCTTCCTCTTTCTCACCAACACGAATTTATCTTCCTCCTCCTCCTCCTCCTCTTCGGGTAGGGCGCTAAGGGACCCAAGCACCCGGGACCGTGACCTGGTAAGAGGTCGAGCTCTCTGGTCAGAGTTTCTCCTGGAAGCACCACCTGGGAATGTGCGCCCTCGGGGCGTCTTTGATTGCTAAACAAAACACACATGACAGAGCCCACTTATTCCAGAATGAAGAGAAGTGACACCTTCTCCGTAAGTATGTTTTCAGCTAAATAAAAGAGAGAGCTCCATTTCCTGATTTTCTTTGTCCTTTCCTATAATGCATGGAAAATTAACCCAAAACCCATATAGTCAGTACAATCTGCTTTTGTAACACGGAGTCCGCTTTCTCTCAAACTGAGACAGGATCTACTATTCTTACACCTAATAAAGATGTAAGAACAGATTTGTCTTAAAAAGAAAACCTTTTCTACACTCTCTCGAGCCCTGAAACATACTCACTGTTTCTATATTAGACAAGAGAGATGTATGTATGGCTTCCCTTCTTCACTTCCTTCCCTTTCTCCTCAGGGAGAGGTGGGAGAAGGCAGGCTTCTCTTTTGTACCACAGCGGACACCAAATTCACCTGAGATCACCAGCTTAGTTCCTCAGAATATAACTGCATACATTAGGCCATGACTTGATGAAGAAATCGTTTTTTCCTTCTTTTTTTCTCAGGCTCAGATTTTTAAAACATGTATTATTTATGCGTATGCCATGTAGGAGGAATGTGTTAATGCCGGGGATACAGAAAAAAAATTTTTTGATCTCTATTTCTGGCCCTTGAGGGTCTTAGTCTAGTTGGGAAGGAGAGAAAACACCAGTCAAAAGCGGTTTGAGCATCACAGAAGAATGGCACAGGGACGCCTCCCCGGGATGCTGGGAGAGCTCCCAGAGCCTTCAGCTCCCCGCAGTCTCCTCTTAGCCTGTCTGTAAGACTACAGGGAATAAGGAAACCGGATTTTAAAATACCGTAACAAATCTACCCCAAGCCTACCCAAATACTCCTCTACAAACAAGGATTTACACTTACTGAACGAGAGCCTGGTAGGGAACGCCTTCCAGGGAATGAGCCAGGGAAGCTTTCTAATTCTGACATTAGTTTTGCAAGCTAAAAAGGGAGGAAATTAAACCAAAATGATTAGTTAAAATAACTGTTACAATGATCAACTTATGGAAATTATAGTAGCACATTTCAAAGATTTTTCTGAGTCCCCCCATGCATTTACCAAGACTTTAATAGATTAAAAGAGAAACATTAGTGTAGGGAAAGAAACATTTTAAAGCACAAATTATGAAGTCTTCAAAGCTACACTGAAAATAATTCTTAGAGCACAAATATAAGCCACAAGTGGTTTAGAGAAAAGCTGGAAAGAGCTAGTTCTAACACATTCAAAGCCAGATACCTACCATT